TGGGGGGGGGAGGTGGTAACATTGTTTAATTAAGTAAAAAGAGGCCGATTTTGTATACCGCGGGCCGGTGGTTTCGAAAATTACCTTTTTTTCATCAGCAATCATCTCTTTCTAAAATCGAAGTTTCAACGAAAAACAGAAGAAAACATTGTATTAGGTAGTTGTAGTAGTGGCAAAAGTATAGTCTTCACAAAAGCCTCAGTTTGCCTGTGTATGTACAACTTTTCAGCTTATTTGCGCAACTAAAAGAGTTCAAATTATGTTTCAACCAATCAATTTTGACCCACGAACTAGCAAATCAAAACATTTCAATAGTTTTCCCTCATAACTTGTCGATTCCCTGACGAAGGAACGTAAATCCATTCATTCCAAGGATGCTAAGTTGCCTGAAATAATCAATTTTTTTTTTACAAGAATGTACTTGTGCGATTTTGGTCCAAAATTTCTCTGATTTTTACATGAGGTCAGAGGAAAAATCAGTGAACTTTTCAGTTAGGAATACCCACGATTCACTTGGTAAAAATTCAATTTGCGAGGAGAAATTTGGCAACATCGCAATGTTGTTACGTTTATTCATGAGGGAAATGAATTGTCATATTTTAAACTATATAAACTCTAAAAGGATGAAGTACCTATATTTTAGGCATTTTTGTGTACATATAACTTTCGGACTAAAAAAGTAAGCATCATACCTATTTCAATTTTTTTTCTTCTAGGAGATACAAAAGAGAGCGAACCTTCCGACACCGAAAAACAACAAAAGTTAACGAGAAAAGGCAAAAAAATCCTTGGGAAGTCCCGTGTGATACCTAATTCCGATATTATCTCTGAAGTATCTTCTGAAGCACCGCGGGACGGAGCTGACGAAGAAATTGGCTCTGGGGAAAAATCTACCAGTGAAATAAGAGATGTTGGCGAACAATCTACTTCTGGAGAGAAGAAGAAACAAGTCAAGGTGTATGATAAGAAGTATATTTGTTTATTTTGCAAAAAGTACACTAAAAAACCGGCAAGACATTTAGAGGATTGCCATGCAGATAAAAAGGAAGTTGCAGAGCTATTAGCTGCTCCCAAGAAAAGCGAGAAAAGAAGGCTAGGATTCCTAGCTTTGCAGCGTGAAGCGGACTTCTATCATAACTGTTCAGTTGTGAGCTCTAAATCAGGTGAGCTGATACTTGCGCGAAGGCCGTCAAAAGATGAAGAGGGTTCCTACAGCATTGAGGATTACGGACCGTGTCCTTACTGCTTGGGGTTCATGATAAAGTCACAGTTATGGAGGCATGTAAAAGGAAACTGCCCGGGACTTAGTAATGATAAGGAAAAGATAGATCTGCACATCGAAAGAAACGAAGCAGCAAATAGGAGAACGTATGAGAATGTGCAAGGTGAAAGTGCCGCTCTACTGTCAGCTGCTTGTGCGAACTCAGCTGAAAAGCAAGACTTTGAACGACTCATAGTGGCGGGCATGTTTACAGATGAAGTGGGG